AGCAGTGAAGTCACCCAGTTATGGCTAAGTAGATCCAACAAGGCGTTGTAGTTTGACCCTGGCTGGCAGCAAAACACCACAACACCGCTCGCTCACCCTCCCCTCCTCCCAGGGATGGTAAAGGGGTGAAGGGAAAAGAGACTCGTGGGTTAAGAACAATTTAGTAACTAAACTGCAATAATATTGGAAATAATAATAATGATTATAATAATAGTAATATGTACAAATGTACAAATGAACAATACACAGTGACACTGCTCACCACCCAATGACCAAGGCTCAGCCCTTTCCCAGCAAATGATCCCAGAGCAGGGAGAGTCCTGAAACTGCAATCCCAGAACGGAGATAAGAGCCCGAGTGTCTGAGAGACTGAGATGACCCTGAGAGAGGGGCGACCCAGAGAGAGAAAACCTGGAGAGAGAGAGCAAGCACTTCCAGACAGAGCGTCATCTATCCTGGCCATGCCATGCACGGATGGAACAGACCATCGTCCAGTTTGGGTCTCAGTCCTAAACCTGAGGTCGAATCCTGGGCTGGGGCTGTTTCCCCTCCCAGCTCCTCCTGCCCCTGCAGACACGGGCACAGCAGAGAAGCTGAAAAGTCCTTGAGTGTCCTGGCAGCAGCTCTGCCCATCAGTGTGTGATGAGCTTCTTCTCAGCACAAACCCAAACACAGCCCCACAACAGCTGCTGCTGAAGAAAGTGAACTCTGTCCCCGCTGAAAGCAGGACACAAGGCAGATTTGCCAGGAACGCCATTGTGCCCCTCTGAATCCAACATGCACCAGGCCAGCAGAGCTATCTCCCCAGAGACCTGCAGCTTCCTGAGGGGGGAGCAAGCTGAAGCGTGCCGGTGATGGAGGTACTGCAAGGGAGGGGAGAAGGGGCAGGAAGCTATTCAATTGGCTCAAAACGCAGTATAGGTGCTACTTCGGTTATCTCAGCAGCCAGCGAGGAGACAGTCGGACCAGCCAGCAACTACCACCAGCAGCTGCTGACACAGATGGGAACTGCAAAGTCCGTGCCCTTCTGGCATCACCCAGGCACACCTGGAAGTCGAGGGCTGGAACCACTCCTCATCCAGTTCAGCCACTGGGTCACTGACACTGTGCAGGTCTTCAGCCTGGGATATGTCAACATCTGCTTTGTGTTCCCCCTGCTCCAGCACAGGAGCCATCCCCAGGGGACACGCTTTGCCTAAGCCACCTCTCCTCTCCTTCGCCAATGAGCTCAGCCCATTCTGGGAGCTGCGCACTGGGTTCGCTTTCACGCATTTCTCCAGCAGGAAACGGTCTTCTAACGATGCACAGACAAGACTTCACCTTGCTGATTCTCCTCAGAAAAAATAAGGTTGACCTGTTCCGATTTTAAGGGCAGGAAAACCACCATGAGATTATCCAGTCTCATTAAAGAAAGCATGAAACCCATCATCTTAAAAGTCCAAGCCCTAGGAACCCCTCTAAGCAATAAGCAGCAACAGATCTGGATGAAACGGTGTAATGCTTACTACTGTTTAACTGACAGCCGTGCGTTCAAGCGTCATAAATGTACAAAGACAGTCTTTGTCTCAAGGAGCTTCAGCACATCACTCCTCACAGCTCACCTCCCATCCATCGTGTTTTTGTTTACGCATTTAGCTTTGACATAAAAAAAAAAAGTCACCCAGCAACATTCTAGCGAAGATCAGAAACAGCCCAGCATTGCTCTGCAGAACAGCTCCTGCCCATGAAGGAATGGGTGCCCTGAACTGCGGATGTGATTGAACAGTAATTAAGCAATGAAACTGCTTACCAGAAAAACTGCTCTGTTTGCTGTAACCACAACAGAGACAGAAGCAGTCTTAGCCCTGGCAGATTTTTTTCTTCTTTTTTTTTTTTTTTGTCTTTTTAATCCAGACCTTTCAACACCCACATACTTTACAAACAAATCCTATTCCTGTTGTGACACAAAGATCTCCATCTTTGCTAAGCTTTAAGTCTCTAAGGCTTTGCTGGAGCTGGCCAGAGAGCTTCACCTTGAAAAAAAGGAATAAAACAAATAAAAACCAAAGACACATCAAGTACTAACAGCAAAACCCCTGGATCTGCAGGAGCACAGCAGTGCTCGCCAAACATTTCAGCATTAGCACCCAGCTGAACCAGAGATCCTGCACGCTCCGTAGCTTTTCTGCTCAGCAAAGCAGAAGTCTGGTGGGGACAGAGCCAGCAACAACTCTTTGTCATCCTGCCCCCATGTTCTCAGATTCCAGCTTGTGCGTGCTCGTCCCTGGCACCCTCTCTTCCCACTGTGGCAGAAAAGGCGTTAGAGGGATGCGGGAGGGGATGTGGGAGGCAGTGTGGGAGCTGGTGTGTGTTCAAGCTATGAGTGGATTAACTGCTTTTTTATCCTCACTTTAATTAGAGCCAACACCTCATTTCCCAACTGCAGGTGACACAGAACCACGTTCTCAGCTACACTGAGCTGAAAATAGGCGGAACACGGGCCATAGAGATGAATTCCCAAATCTCACACCACAGCCCCTGATTTAGGATGATTGTTTCTGTTCTTAAAGTGCCTGCAAACCCAGAAGAGAGCAACCAACTGAAGATGAGCTGCAGCAGGCTTCATCCCACCCTTCATGCCAACCCCCCCCCAGCATTTTTAAGTGCTTCCTGCTCAATCACATCACATAGCATCACAAGAGAGCAAGGCTGGGAAAGGCCTTCCTGCCAGTGCCCAGACGTGCGTTTGCACCCACACTGGCAACGAGTGTGTGTCCTCAGCCGTGGGGACTGCTGCCAGCTGCTGCCAGGAACCAGCAACGACAGCAGCGTAATCCTGCCACAAGCAGGATGGGTACATTATTCCCAACATCTCACAGTGACCATTTCTTTTCTCTCAGAACTGGGGTTTCAGCAGATGCTCTTTAAGAGCTAATCCTCGCATCCCCTACAATCATAAATCCTTTGTATTTTAGCCTTTTTTGTTAAATTAACTCGGTGACAGTAACACAACTGCTTCTACATGCTCAGATTTTTTGCAAAAGGTGTGAAAGTGACTCGGAGAACAGCAGCAGCAGCACTTTCAGCAAGTTTTCCCTGGGAGGTGTTGATTAGCAGATTTCAGAAGAGCACAACTCAGTCCTTTATGTGAGAAGAAGTTAAAACAATTTATGCTCAAAACCAGCTTAAGCTGAAGGCAAAGCAGGGAACAAAGACTCAGCCTCACCGCTACCCGCCAAGGCAGAAATGCTGCTCCAAGTCTGCAGGATGGTGATGCACAGTGACAAAAATCTCAGAGATTTTTGTGTTCCCTCACTGCTGCTCAGGTTTGGCTTTTCACAAAACATCCCATCTGTGACTCAAGCATTTTGGAGAAACTGTATCCAAATTTTCTTCGCAAGGGCTCCAGCACTGGGAGCGGGCGATACGGATTTTATTTCAATTTTTTATTACTAAATTATCATTACTCAAAGAGCCACAGGTAGCAAGGCTCAGCACTAGGGGACAGACCTGTTCGTAAACTCTTTGCAATGTCCCAAACATAAGATGATCTTTTGCTTCATCCTACCCAGGGGAACAAACTACCCAGTTAAACCAAGTGGCTGGACATGTGCTGGGATATGACAAGCCAGCCCAGCTCTGGAGCAGTGAACAAAACAGTCCTGTGGACATAACTGATGGCACAATTCACCTCCAGAGATGGGACAGGACTCACAAGCCTCATGAGGTACATATGCAAGAAACCGAAAATAAACAGACCACAAACACAGTGCTGGGTTCTATCCTTGCCTCTCCTGTTCTTACCCTCCAGAAGCTGTGTGCATGGCAGCAGTACTCACCTCTAACGATCCCTGCTGCTGCGCGATCTCAGAGCAGTCATGAAGACGATGGACTACAGGATGCACTGAAATATACCCGAAGCTTTGAACTGTCTGTAGATTTTGCAAGACTGAGCGGCGAGCTGTTGACCCTGGGAAAGCACAAGACGGGGAGGAGACAGGCTCCCACTGCCAGGGGGAAGCTGTCCCAGCAAGACAACCAGTAAGTAAGCAGCCCAAGGGGTCAGGCAGCCTTGGCCGGAGGCAGCAACGGCACCGTGCTCCCTCTGCCTGCTCTTGTGAAGATCTGCCCTAGTGAAGGGGAAGTAAAAGGTTTTCATGAGTCAATACAGACACCATGGAGTTGAGTTATAATTGTCACTGACTCAGTGCAGGTGGCACAAATTTATACAGAAGCCGATAACAGCAGAGCCTCTGCCTTGTACCTCTTCCTTGGGCTCTCCTCCAACACCACATCTACACAAGCAGGATCGCTATCTGGAACGAGAAGCCCAGGAAAAAAGCTGTTGCACAAGTGGTTTCTTCTTTCAGACCTCAGGGGGCAGTGGGGGCCCTGCCTTTCTGTAGCTTTCAGGTGAGCTGTAAGACGTGGCCAGCTGCAGGGATCATGAGAGGCCCAAAACCCATTTCCAAAACTAAGAAAATTTTACTATTGCATCCTACTAAATTGTCCCTGCCAAACAGCTCTGGATATTTCCCACCTCAATTCTTCTGTTACCTACTGTGGCAATGACGGCTTATGCACAAAGCAATCCTTTGCTATCTTCCGCCCCAAACACCTTGCAGTCTTTAAGCAGATTATTTCAGTGTGATTTACAGAAACACAGAAATATTGAACATTGAACTACAGCTCAGGACTGCTTGCTCTCCAAAAAGAGCTGAGAGGAGCAGCTGCTATTGTTCTGTAAAGAGAGGACAAGTTAGCTCGCTGGGCTCTAGCGGCTGCGCTCAGCAGGGCAATAACGAAGAATGTGGCAGGGCTCATACTGGGAAAGATGAAAAAAATCTTTATTCCAGTTCTGAATTGGAAAAAACATCACCTCCACAGCTCACTGTTTGACAGTTCAGTCAGCACACGGAGAGGTCACGCTCACCCAACAGAGGCACAGACTTAGAGGACACAGTCCTTTAGGCACTTTGAGAGGAAGCTCAGCTTCAAAGTACAAACACTGATCAGTTTGGCTTAATTTTTTAATATAAAAACTCACTAAAAATGCTAAAATGTGACAAACCATTGGAAATACTGTGACAAACATTCGCCCTTACGCAGTAAAAACCAAAACAAACCCAAACTGGCAAGAAGCTTTGAAATGCGTGTTTTCTTCTTCCTCCTGGCACATCGGACCATCATCTACTGAAAACGTTCATCTAAAAAACCCATGGCACCTTTGCCTCGTACTTCAGTGTGAGAGGCTACTCTCGATGGACCAGCACAAATAAACCCAGTAAAAAGAGGACTGCATACTGTAAGAGAAAGAAGAGAAGACACGAGAGTGCATGTTTGCATCTAAAGATGCAGTAACAGCAGCAAACATACCGGGCAAACGGTTCTCTGAGTATAAAAGTTCTCATGAAGTAATTTTAGCTTGGGTGGGAAAAGCAGGCAGAAAATGAAAGAGCTCTTACCTTAAATTTTGGATAATCATTCATTAAGATAGTCACTATTCCAATATAGGGCACGAATCTACAAGAATAAAGGTTTTATTAAAACAAACAGTATTCAAGGGTGCACATGAGACAAATGCTGCCCTGGCACTTGTACAGAGGAAGAGCCACTCGAGCACGCTAAGGGCAAAGGTCAACAGGTTTGGGACTTCTTCGTACCAAGCAGGGAAGCCATGGCACTGGGGGCTGAGTGACAGCTAGCCCCAGAGAGTGTTTTAGCCTCTGCCTTGTTCGGATCGCACTTGCCTGCAAAGACTGTGCCTTGCAGAAGAATTTCGATGAAAATTCTGATCGTGACTGAGCGTGTCCTGCCTTTGCATGGGTGTCCATCCAGTGTCAAAATCTCAGGATGCAGCTCACAGCTTGATACCTTTGCTTAAGCCAAGCTATGAACTCAACTACCTTTGGTTTTGAACTCTCCAAGAGTACCTTTTGAAATGCTTTCACAAAAACCCAGCAGGGAGAGCTCAAGAGGGGAGCAGGATTAACAGAAGGCATTGGGGGAGGGCAGCGTAAAAAGCCAAATCTTTTTCAACTTCACTTACCCTCTTGCTCGTCCTACTACATCCTTTTTCTCCAACCAGTGCTGCCCTCGTTTGTACAGCCCTCTGTCATCAACAGCGTTATTGTCTCCCTTTGTCAAAAATTTGATGTCGCCGTTTTGCCTAGCAAAGACAAGACAGCCGGGTAAGTCAGAGAGAAATAACTTATTAAAAGCTGTTCTACAACAAGCGCGTAGAGACTAAGACAAAGAGAAGCAATCATGTCCTACATGTTCGAGCAGGATGAAAAAAGGAAACTGGAAAAGCAGATGGTTTGGAAAAAACACTGCAAATGAAAGAATGAATTCTGGCCCCAGCCAAGCTTTCCAACAGAGTTTAAGAACAGAACCAGCAGAATGAGCCACCTCTAGTGAAGGTGCAGCTATCACCTCTTTGCTTTTGACCTCTCGTGTTAATGCTTCTCTTCCTTCACATAAAATGTTGGGTTCTGGGCCCTGTGCTACTACCCAAAATGAGCCTTTGGGGTTAAAGCATACAATTCTACTCAGCAGTGGCCAGAAGCAAGCTGAAACTTCGACATTATTAGGAAAGGGGGACAGAATAAAGCAAACAATACCATTATGATACTGCATGAACTCACGATGTGCCTACATCTTGAATGCTCTGTGCAGTTCTGAACCCCCTACATCCTTTTTTTTTGAAATGGAGAGAAGAACTGGCAAAGGTTCAGAAATGGATAACAAGTTCTGGAACCACTTCCATGCAAGAAACAACAGACCAGGGCTCTTCAGCCTGGAAAAAGACAGAACTGATGGGAGATACGAGGGCAGTCCAATACAAATGACACAGACAGCAACAATCAAACAGCTTTTCACTGCCTCTTCCAACACAAGACGTAGAGAGCATCAAACGAAACCCAGAGGTAACAGGTTAAAACACTCCAGAGAAGGTGCTGTGCAGAACTAACAACAGCACAAACTAAACCATGTCTCTCTGAAAGAATATTTTGGATGTTAAAAAATTATATATAGTTCAAAAAGTGACCAGATACTCCATGTACAAAAGAAAAGAAGGCTATTAACAAAGAACTGTGACTTTGTGCTTGAAATGGTGATCTGCAGAAAGCAGGGAAATTATCGCTACGTACTCCCTCTGGTCTTTAATTTGTCCTGAGACAAACCAGTTAGCTTGTCACAACAGGATGCTGGAGCAGATGAACCTTTGCTTTGACCTGGAAACAGCTGCTGTTAGGCTCTAGCTTTATACCCCCCATCAGGCATCCTTCTCCAGTCATTGGCATTCAGCTTGCTGGAGAGCCAGCAACGCTGGCTCCTAAGTGGTGGTTTGTGCCGCTACGCAGGATCAGCCAGCCACTGTCATCACCCTGTGGCATCTGAAGGCAGATGCTGAGCAGAAGCATTCTCGTTGCTTGATTCTGTCGGCTTACTCACAGGAATGACAGATCAAATGCAACTCCGGAGAGCATGCAGAAGATCTTCAGAGCTTGTGCTGTTGTCATCATGCCTGAATACCCATGTGTGCCACCTGACAGGAGAAGCTTGGAAGGAAAAAAGAGGAGAAAACAAGAACAGATCTTCAAAGCACGTTTGGCTCGCGGTGTGGGAACAGCAAAACACTCTAGGAGCTTAGAGATACAGTCTGGAAAAAGATGAAGACACCCAAAGGTGCAGGTAATGTGGGTTTCAGCTCTGAAGACTGATGGTGTCGGAGCACACCACCTTATTGAGCAGATTCAATGCTCGATCACGAATCAGCGCAAGAAGCCCACAGCACAGTTGCTCTGCTGTCTGAAAGGTGAATGAAGTCTGGTCTGGCTGTCCTACACCAAAACCACTAAGTAAATTTTGACCACAGAGTCTGTGTTTAGTGATAAAGAATGAACTCAATTTTGCTTTGGACAAAGAAGAAAAGGCCATCAAGTAAAAAAAAAACATTTTCTCACTGAAACAATACTGATGTGAACTGGAGCCTGAATTGCCACAAAATCAGAGAGAACAGGGTTTCTGTTTACCTTCATTTTGACACTTCTGTCAGCTTTCACAGAGACTTTTCACAGTTTTCATATTCAGTCCATAACTACAGGAAGAAATGGGAAACTCCAGACATTCAGAGGACACTCTTGAATTCCACACTGGCATAAAAAAATTTATTTTAACTAGTGAAAGAAGCAACTAATACCTCAGAGTCCTGCATTCAGCCCCCAGCTTCAGCTGACAGTATGTATTTTTTTGGTTTTATCTTTACTAACATAAACATCAAGTTTGTGTTTGGTTTTGTTTTGTTTTTTTTTTTTTTTCATGAAACCTAAAATGCTGGAGAATGACTTGACTTCACAGAATCTAGGACTGGCACTATAGTACTGTTACTTTTTTTTAAAAAAAAAAAAGGCATGCTGGATACTTTAATACCTAGTACTGAGATAGAGCCAGGCAAAAAAAGAAGGCTGAGGAATATCTGGAGATGAACTGCCGCACAGAATACACCTTTCTGCTTCTCCTTCCCCGACACTGGCTGAAAGCAGAGAGAAGACCCTGACCTTTCTTGCCTCTTCAATAATCAGCCCAAGCAGCAGCAATGGAGCCCAGCTGAGCGTTTAGCACGGAACGGGGGAGAAGGAAAGAAGCGTTTCACTTAAAAAGAGTTCCCAAGACATCACAAAAAGTGTACGTGCAATGTTAGCTATCAGGTTTACCATGTGTGCCGACCTCATTTTTAAATTAGTGGTCTTGAAGAGCACTTTGAAAACCGACTAAACCACTGCTAGAAGTTTTGGGTACAGAATAAATCGGAACAGCAAAGAATCTGCTCTGTCGACTGGGAGAGGTGCCACTCTCCCACTGCCAGGATTTCAGCTGGACTATTTCTGTGCACAAAGCTGGTCAGCCTTGACATGGGGCCAGACAAATAGTGATTCACTTAACCTAGGAACAGATCTCCGAGCCTTGGTATGGCTCCAGTTCATTCACATCGCAGCAGGTGTTTACTCAGCAGAAACAGATGCTGGGACCCCATCCAACTGTGGCCCTCTCAGAGCTGTCTTGAAGAACCAGGGATTCACCTCAAGATTTACTTTTCCCTCAAATGCCTCCACGGGGCTGCCTTCTATCCCCACAGACCGCCCTGGAGCAGTCCCAGTTGCGTCCTCCCCAACCAGCAAAACAGGAAGGCTCACGGCTGCAGAGGAAGCCTGACTTGGAAAACTAAGCCCTGTTCGGCAACCAAACCAGAGTAACCGCGCTTCATTCCTTCAGACATTTTAGAAATAGAATCATAGAATCACTAAGGTTGGA